CAGACAAAATTCATGATTAAAGAGTTTATTGAGGAAATTAACAAGTTGTAATGCTAGTGAGGAATGCTCAGGATGGAGTTGTTCATCTGAACATGTTACAAAGTTCTTTCAGGTCTGCTAATAAATGCCCAGAAATAAATACCACTACACTGTAAGCCTCCATCTGTGGACATTAAGCTCAAACTCCGTGGGTCAGCAAACCCAGTTCTCTGAATTAAGTGCTCAGAGACACCCCATTCTAGTAAGCCTTAGCCAAAGGCACTCAGCTTCACTTTTGTGGGTCAGCAAGTCCAACTTTCTCAGTTCGGTACCCAGAGACATCCCACTCCACAAGCCAGCCTCCTGCACAAAAACACTCGCTTTATTTGCTCTATGGGTTGGGATATCCATCATCCTGTTCCATACTCTGGCTCCTGGTTCTGCTGCTACTCCCCTGATGGGATAGCTGCTCTGGACCAGGAAACGGTTCACTGCGCAAGGATCTTGGGTCCAGAGAATGTGATCCACTCCTCACTTTTGCTGATAATGATCCCTCCTTCTGCTTTTCAGAAGTCTCATTTTATACACCGCATGATGGCACTCTGGGGAATCCTTTTCACAATTACTCACAGGTGAATCCTATCAGTATCTTCCCCATCTTTTTACCAGACCCATGCAGGGAAAGGTCTGGTGGGAGTTAGAGACGTAGGCTAGAGAAGCCACTCAAGTACTCCCTCAATGCAAGAACGCTTTCTCCTATTAAATTGGCATTCTATGATGTTCACCTTCCTGACACAACCGCTGAAGACCAAGCGGGTGAATAAGCAAATGTGGTGAAGGAAGCTGATGGTGCCCGACTGTCAAATGACATAGCGTCTGGGGTCTTAAAGATTGAAGGTAAACAAGCGGCCATCTAGCTCAGAAGCAACAAAGCCCACCTGGAAGAAGCACACCAGCCGGTGAGATCACGAGGTGTCGAAGGGATCAGGTATCAGGCATCATCAGAACAAAATATCTTACCATAGTGTACGAGGTGAGGAGTGCAGAGTGGAGACCCAAGGCCCATTTGTAGGCCGCTGGACATCCCACAAGGGTCTTGGGGAGGAGACAAGCCAGTCCAGGTGGGATGTAGCAATGATAAACATACAACTTTCCTCTAGTTCCTAAATGCTTCCAACCCCACCCCACCCCATCATGATCCCAATTCTACCTTGCAAGTCTGGCTAGACCAGAGGATGTACACTGGTACAGATAGGAACTGGGAACACAGGGAATCCAGGGCAGATGATCCCTTCAGCACCAGTGGTGTGAGTGGCGATACTGGGAGGGTAGAAGGAGGGTGGGTTGGAAAGGGGGAACCAATTACAAGTATCTACATGTGACCTCCTCCTGGGGGTTGGACAACAGAAAAGTGGGTGAAGGGAGATGTCCAACAGGGCAAGAAATGACAAGATAATAATTTATAAATTATCAGGGGTTCATGAGGGAGTGGGGAATGGGAGGGAGGGGAAAAAATGAGGACATGATGCCAGGGGCTTAAGTGGAGAGCAAATGTTTTGAGAATGATGAGGGCAATGAATGTACAAATGTGCTTTACACGATGTATGTATGGATTGTGATAAGAGTTGTATGAGCCCCTAATAAAACTATTTAAAAAAATTTTTTTTACAAAGGAAGAGACAGAAGTGATATTACATTGTAAGGATTGCCAAGTGCCTACCCATTTCATCACCAGTACTCCTCACAACATTCATAGGGTATTAAACAGAGACCTGACAGAGATGCTTCTCTGCAATTGACACTAACTACTTGCCGTTAACTTATACCTGCATCATGGTAACTCCACGTGTGTCAGAGTTGAACTGTGCTCCATAGGGCTATTGATGACTGGGTTTTGGAAGTAGATACCAAGGTATTTCTTCTGAGGCACCCTAGAGTTTACATGAACCTGTACACTTTCACTTGAGGGCTCTGCACCACCCAGCAGCTCATTGCTCAACATTACCTGCCTCCTCAAAGTATCATTTAATGTCACCTTTAACTTGGGCCTTGCCTCTTTCCAACTCATCTTCTATTACTCTCTACCTCTTATTTTGTGCTTAAGAACAAAGAATTGCCTATGACTCAGTTCCCTTGACACAACATGTTAATCTAATTTTTTGTATCTATACTCATTCCCTCCCTCGACCTTTTGTCTAATAAACAACTATTTATCCTTTAAAATTCAGCTCAGCTCTCTTTTCCTCCAGGAAGACAAAAATTTTCAAAAAGTTACCCTTTCACACACACACCTCTTCTCCAAGGGAGAAGAGTGAAATATTTATGGACTGTGCTTCTGTGGTTCTTATAACTTACAGATATTTTTCTCTCCAACTAGCTTGTGTATGTGCCGAGCATATAATTTTTTTTTTCATTTTGCTATTCTTAATAAAGTTTTCTGTGACTTTATAGAAATAGATATATTCTTAAATCATTTTATTGGGGGCTCATACAACTTTATCACATTCCATACATCCATCCATTGTGTCAAGCACATTTGTACATTTGTTGCCCTCATCATTTTCAAAACATTTATTTTCTACCTAAGCCCTTGGTATCAGCTCTTCATTTTTCCCCTCCCTCCTCCACACTCCCACCCACATCTCCTTCCCACAACCCTTCTGTAATGGGATGTCCAGTGCAGATGGGCTTTGGGTCTCCACTCTGCACTCCCCCCCATTCACAATGATGTGATTTTTTTTATTCTTTGATGCCTGATCCCTGGTCCTTTCAAAACCTCATGATCACACAGGCTGGTGTGCTGCTTCCATTGGGCTTTTTTGCTTCTCAACTAGATGGACACTTGTTTATCTTCAAGCCTTTAAGACCCCAAACACTATTCTTTTGATAGTCGGGCACCATCAGCTTTCTTCACCACATTTGCTTATGTGCACATTTGTCTTCAGCAATTGAGTCAGGAAGTTGAGCATCATGGAATGCCAGTTTAATAGGTCAAAGTGTTCTTGCATTGAGGGAGTACCTGAGTAGAGGCCTAATGTCCATCTGCTACCTTAATACTAAACCTATAAATATATGCACATAGATCTATTTCCCCATCATCATATATAAATATATTTACATGTGTACA